TCTGAGTTAATTTATAACTTTAGACATGTTCCCAATAAAAACATCACCAGGATTTTTTTAAAACAAGACAGATGATTGTAAAGTTCGTATGGAAAAGTAAACAAGCAAGAGTAGCCAGGAAATTTTGAAAAAGAAGAAGGGGACCAGCCCGACTGGATGTTAAAATGCATCATAAACGTACAGTAATTTCGAAAGTGTGTTATAGGTCAGCATCATTGAATGAGGAGTACAGAAGTAAGTCCAAATCCTTATGAGGAGCTGGGACCAGTATTTGAAAAAGGTGATGTTTCAGTCAATGAGGAAAAGATGAACTATCCAGCTTATGGGGTTAGAAACAAACCCTACTTCACACCTTTCATCAGGCTGAATGCCAAATACATCAAAGACTTAACGTTTATAAAATAAAAGCCATGAAAGTACAAGGGGAGACGTTGGGAGAATGCTTTTATAACTTTGAAATGGGTAAAGCCTTTCAAATTAAGGCATAAAATCCAAAAAACATACAATAAACCACCATAAGCAATGTCAAAAGTTAAACTGGGACAAGAATTTGCAATTCTTATACCACTCAAAGTCCATTTCCTAATATAGAAAAATCTCCTTAAAAAGACGAGAAACAAACACCATAAAGGAAAAATGGCAATAGTTCTCACTCACATACACACAAACACACACACACATACACACAAAGATATCTTTTAAATATATGAAAAAATGCTCAAACTTAGAGAGAAACTTGAGAATATACCAAGATAGGGGCTTCTGGGTGGCTCATCAGTTGAGCATCTGCCTTGGGCTTGGGTCATGATCTCAGGGTCCTGGGATCGAGCCCCTCATGGGGTCATCCACTCAGCAGGGAGTTTGATTCTCCCTCTCCCTTTGCCACTCCGCCCACATGTGCTCTTTCAAATGAATAAAATCTTTAAAATATATATATATATATATATATACTGAGATACTGCATTCCATTATCAGACTACCAGAAACTCAATCACATACCATGTCAGCAAGGAGGCACTATCGGTACTGCTGACACAAGTGGAAATCCTTCAGCTCTGAGGAGGGCAGTTTGGCAACATCCCTCAAACTCCACATTCCTTTTCTAGCGTATTCAGACATTTCTTTTCTAGAAAATCTGTACAAATACCTTCATATATTTATAAGCTTATTCATAGCAGCACTGCTCTTAAGAGCACAAGCTCGGAGGCAGGCTAAATGCCTTGCAGGAAATGTGGCAGAGCGTTGTACAGCCATAATAAAGAATTAGGAACCTCTTTATGTGCCAAGACAGATCTCCAATACATAGTAAGCGGAAGAGATAAGGTGCAAAAGATCACATGTAGTCAGGTCCCAGTTCGTTAAAAGAGGGGACATAAATATATAGTCACACATTCTTGTTTATGCAGAAAGTGTGACAAAAACAAGACACAAGGAATGAACAAAATGCAGTTGCCTATAGGGGGAAAAGGTGGTGTCTGGAGAACAAGTACAAGAGGAAGAATTTTTACTGTTTGTCCTTTTATACTCTGAGTTTTAGAACATATGAAGGTATTGCTTACTGAAAAAAATTGATCGAAGCTATTTAATAAGTAAAAGCTCATCATATTGACTCCTATAGAGGGGAAAGGATTTTGCTGTATTTTTTCCACTATTAACAAAAATGACCCCATTCCTTTAAAAATGTCCTGGTCCTCAAAAGTACCCTGTCCTTGTATTTGAGGACCGATGGGGATTCATATCTAGGCAGAAGTCCCTCTTTGCAAAGCTATCAGTCCACAAGTTTGATGAGTACCTACTTCGTGCCTGGCCGCTGACTTGAGCACCAGGGGAACACCCATGAAGGAGAAAAGCCTACACACCCTGTCCAGCCAGCTGGGCCTCGGACCTGGCAAGGCTGAGCAATGATTGTCCCTGACCTTCCCAGGGAGGATTTAGAGACCCCTCGTGAACAGGCAGCACTAAAAGCCAGCAGGTGGGGGATCCTGCAGCAGGAACGGGAGGTCGAAAGTCGGAGGTCCCCAGGCAGCAGTGCCACTAAGGGGGAGGGAGGGAAAACTGAGAGGGGTCGCCCTCAGCCAGCTGGGCAGCAAGCAGAATTTCAGGGACTCCACCCTCCTTCAGCAGCCCTTGACCCCCAAGCCCCTTGTAAGGAAGGGTGGATGTCCTCTCTCTTTTCCTCGGCCGCAGCAAGCGTGGCCCTGGGCGGCCTCGGCTCTCCCCTCCACTGAAACCCGCACTCAGGAATTCACTGAGACAGACAGGTTTGGTCTTGGCCATGGGAGTTATTTTTCTTTTTAATGAGACTGTAGACTCCAGGAGGAATCAAGTTTTAATCGTGGCATTTCTGGTCCCCAGGGGACTTTCCAGCTGAACTCATCTTCTCTGTCACCAAGGAAAGGAACATAAGTCACTGTCTCTTCCACGGGGCTTGGTTTTGTGTGGGGAGGCCGAGCTTCAGAGAAACACAGGGGAAATTTGAGGAGGTGAGTCGTGGCAGGATTTCTGGCATCCATGGCAGGACTGTGTGAAGACACGCTTTGGCCTGAGGCCTCCCTTCCCCACAGCAGAGGGGCAGCTGCCTGTGTGCTTCCTGCAGAACATCGTTGGCCCTCATGGGCCCCCTGGGCCTTCAGCGTGGGGCAGCTTCTTCCCTCAGGGAGCAGAGGGGACAGGCAGCAAGGGGACGGTGTGTGCTCAGGCCTGAGGAGGGGAAGGCAAAGAGCAGAAGATGGGGAGAATAAGACGTTCCACCTTCTCCTGCCCTGAGTGGGAACTGTGAGCCGAACGAAATGCTGAGTGGAGCTTTCAGATGGGAGGAGCTGAGGCTGGCTTGGGATCTTACAAACCTACTCCATTCATACAAAGCAGAAATGCGCCTTTCCAACAAGACTTTGAAGAAGGGAGCTTTGAGAGGTCATGCGTGGGGTCCTTTCTCAAATTGGGGTTGGTGGCTCACACTGGAAAAAGTCCATGAACGCAAAGGCAGGAAACTGAAGGAGTGTAGTGCACAGAGGAGGAATACCAGCCTTTGGAGCTGGAGGGACCAAGTTCAAGTCCCAGTGAAGTCAGCCTGCTCGTCACCTTTCAGAAGTCACTTAAACTTCTTCCGGCTTCCATCTACTTGCTGCTGCCACGATCAGAGCAAAGCACGCTCTTCTGAACCTTCAGTGTTGTTCAGGTCATGAATGTGGTTTGCAGCCCACAGAGGTGCTTTCCACACGTTTGTTATTGCTGTTCCTAATACACATGTTGCCATGGCGATCATCATGCATGTGGGCCGGGCAGCCCTAGATTAGGGAGCATGAAGGGGTTGTAACTTAGCAGGGCACACAGGTTCACTTCTCAATGACGCCCACATTTGCAGGTGGGCAGACAGAACCCCCGGTTCCCTCTAACTCCGTCTCCTCGTGAAGGAAGTGGGTATAACTCTATAAAGGCCTGCTACTCCCACATACTTAATCTCAACCCTGCAAACAAGCAGGAATGGGTCATCCCAATTCAATGGTCGAGGTAACGGACCAGCAAGAGGACTTCACCAGGGCGATGCCGCCCTAGGGATTACACCCCAGGCCTCCCGTGCCCAAGTCCATGTTCTTCTCCCTTCCCTCCCACCCCAGCCAGAGCTGAGCCTTGACCACACACGGTGGCTAGCGGGGGAGGCTGGGGACCCTGGTCCCAGGGGCTCAGCTTGGTTGGGCTCACTGTTCTTTCTGTAGTTCACAAGCATCTGCTTAGAACAGCATATTTTATGAGCTTTCTCTTTTCTCAAGAAGTCCCAGCTGTAAGCGGAAACAAGGCCTCGGGTGCAAAGCAGGGAGGCCCTGAAGTGCTTCCTGCCCCACCTTTGCACTCAGGCCTGGATTCCTGATGGTGGCTGGAGTTCAAGTCCAGACGTCAGCAGGCTTGTGAGAAAGGCCCCTCTTGCTCTGGGTGCAGGGCAATGGGCCGCCTTTGTAAGACCCTCCCACCCCACCGCAGCCCAGCATGGCCGCTGAGGGAGGGCCATGATGGGGGCCTCCCTCTGACAATCTAGGTCCTTCTATGCGGCAGGTGTGGGGTTTGCAGATTTGGTTGGTAGAGGGGGTTCCTACCCAGAACTTCAAATTTTATACAAGAATCTTACATGGAACTCCAAACTGTAAAGCAAGAGAGCTGCTCTGGCTGAGGCCAGCATCCCACCCCCCACCCTGCCTGCCTGTCGTCTCCCATGGTGCTCACTCACTGCACAGAACTGCCTGGGCTATGTAGGGCCTGGTTGTCGCCACCAGCGTGTCCTCCCTCCGGTGCCCAGACCCTTCTGCCCTCTGCCTGCTTGCCCTGTGAAGACTGTACTTGCACACAGCCTGTGCGGCCCGTGCTTATACAGGGAGGTCTCTCCTTGTCCTCAGCATGAATCAAACTCCTCTTGCATTCTAGGCTTTTTGGGTTGGTCAACACACCTGTCTTTCCCCACCATCCACCAGGGTCCTTCACTGCCTTTGGCACCCACAGTGTGCGCTTTCCCTTCCCTCCCACCTTTTCCCTTCATGCTCTTTTTAAACCTAATCCTCTCTCTGTGCTCTGTAGGGTAGCATCTGATTCTGACGTGGTTTTAGCCGGGTCATGGATGTTAGCATGCATCACTCTTGTCCCTCCAGCTTTCCCTATGGTTCAATCAGGAAAAACGGGGATGACTTACTTCTTCCTCTCATATCAAACTCTAAATAATATGGATTTCAGCACATAGTAGGACTTCAACAAATAACTACTGATTTTATTAAACCACAGCAGTCTGAGACATTCCTGGTGTTACTGAAGCCCCCACCTTGGGGAGCACAGAGGCACCTCTGGGGGTTGGCCGGTATGGGCGAGAGCCCTGGACTGAGGTGTGTGGCCAGCTGATCAAGCCTCCTCAAAGGCTTTCCTCCCTGAAGCAGATTTCCCTGAGATGTGCACATCTCTCCCACCTTAGAAAGACCCTATTGGAATGACTGAGGCATTAATTCTGAGCCATCTCTCAGGGATTTGAAACTGGACAACATCCTTCTGGATGCAGAAGGTCACTGCAAGCTGGCTGACTTTGGGATGTGCAAGGAAGGGATTCTGAATGGCGTCACAACCACCACATTCTGCGGAACTCCTGACTACATCGCACCCGAGGTAAGACGGTGCACAGAGGCCCACCTTCTTCCACCAGGGCTGGGGCAGGGGCCATTCATTTGCACTAAAACCAGGAGAGATTCTAAGGGAGGAGAGAGAAGAAGAAAGGTAGAAGGCTTACTGATTTCTCCATAAGGAAGTGGTAGTGATGGAGGAGATAAGGGGCCAACGGTGAGCAATGGGCCATTCCCCATGCCAGGGCAGAGCCTCGCTGGGTCTCGCCCTTCCATCTCAGTTCAGAACTACCAATGGGCTAGGACCAAGAGAACTTTGTAGACTTGTATCATCTTTACTTCTTAATAACCAGAATAAAGGAGCACCATCAATAAAGGTGGCAATTAGCTTCATCAGCAGTAACGTACTTACAGTAAACCCCAGGTTTATTTGCCATTTCTAGCATAGGGGTGATTCTGCATGGCCGGTGCCCAGGGTCAAGCAGGAAGAGTAAAGCGTGCTTCATTGTAAATGTAGATCAGAGAAGTTCCCTGAGAACCTGACTGATGGACTGCCTTTTGTGAAGTTGTTTGCACGTGTTGTTCATCATATGGTGCTTACTGGCCTTGAGTTTCTCAAGCCAGTCTTGCCAAGGTTGAGAGATACCTAGTGCAGTACAATTCAGATTTAAGACGAAGTGTCTTGTAGCTGCTCAATAAAAATGGCCTCGAGGGTTCTGACCATGTAAGATGAGAAGGAGATACCAGCCCCCCATAAGCACTGCCCATGGTGCACAGGTGCTCGTTACCCCATTCTGGCTGCGTTTCCTTTCCGTGGGCATTGTGTGAGCACCTGCTAGACGCAAAGCACTGTGGGAAGGAAGAATCGACCCAGCACTCCTCACTCTCCTAAAACAACTTCTGGTCTAGAGGCAGTGGCCTCTATGTTAATGGCTAATTAAGCAGAATAAACAGATGCAAGAGACAAGATGATATCCTTAGGGATAAGGGAAGGCTTCTTGGGACACCTGGTAGATGAACTGAGTTGTGGAGAATCAACAGGATTTCCTTTGGTGGTGGCTGTGGAAAGCATTCCTGAAAACAGCCGGGGGGTTGGGGTGGGGGTGGGGCAGCCCGAGAGGTTCCATATTCCTGGGCTCTGAATCCTTCGGGGCAGGGGCTGTGTTCCTGCGTACTCCCAGGATCCAGCATATAGACCAGGCTCTTAGTAACGGTTGGTTGAGTGAATAAATGAATGTGAACTTGAGACACTCCAGTGTGAACAAAGATGAAGGGATGAGGATATTCTTGGCCTTCATTCAGGAGAGGAAAAGAGTATAGCTAGAACACTGGCATTCTTCATGCTCATAGTCATGAATGAAACTAGAAAAGAGGACCAAGGGAAGTGGCCTTGATCCTAGAGGATCTGTAGACCCACTAAGAGTTTTCCAGTGGAGGGTGTCCGGGTCTGTCAGACCTGTCCCACGAAGAAGACAGGCAACAGCAGTCTGCCTCAGAAGGCAGAGAATACGGAAGAGACAGTCAAGAGACTTCACAGACCTGACAAGACATGGCGGGGGGGCGGGGCTCGAGGGGACAGGTAAGGACGGTTAGTAATAGTTGAGCTCCCTTTAAAACCTTTTAACCTTCTAAGAGATCTGAAAGCAGAGATTTCAATCAGTCTTCCTTAGCAGGAACACTAGGAATTTAATCTTCCAGGAGAAATCAGTGAAAGCAAGGGCCCTCAGTTGGGACCTGCATTTTTACCGTCTTCCTCATCATTCCTTCTTAGCAGAATGCCTGGTTCCAGTCCTCTGTCACCTGATGCCAGAGTCAAAGGGTTAACAGGCCAGAGGAGTAGTTAAGGACCCAGCCCAAGACAAAACTGTCACTTCATGATGAACCTCACATCCACCCAGCTCTCACGGCAGGCAGTCCATTGACAGGAGTTGCAGCGAGAAGCACTGACCTCTCTGTTTATAATGAGGCGCAGACGCCCTTCCTTCCCATTCCTTCCTCATGCTCATGGCGCACAGTCACCACCACCCATGAAATGGCAGGCAGTCCTGGTCTTCCCGCAGGCAAATTAGAGCTGATCAAGATACTGCTACTTATAGCCAGGGGAGATGAAATGCAATCAATGCAATCAATGCCTCCCAATGGGTCCAGCATAGTGCCTGGCCCACAGTGAGCACTGGGTCATTATCTTCACTGTTGCTGGTTTGGGGGTTGGCGGGCGGTAAGGTGGGAAAAGCACAGTCCTGAGAGTTGAGAGTCCAGGCTAGACTGGACCACTGATGCCCCCAGGTGACCTTGACCAAGTCGCAAAGTGTTTTAGACCGTCTGCTTCCTCATCTTCCAAATGGGAAGAGCACTTCCTGCCCTACCTACCTCAGCAAGCTGTTTTGAGAGTCTAATGAGATTAGAGCATGGAAATGCTTGAGAAACCATAAGCCTCTATTCAGATAGGAGGGGCCATGAGGGGCCTGTTAACCCTAAAACCACAGCCAGCTAATGAGGCTCTAGCTGTTGCCCAACGCTTCTCTTCCCACTACGCCCCCTTGGCTAACGTCCACTGCACCCACTCCACACACCCCACGCCTGCTCCCTGGGAAATGGCAGCCAGCCCTGGGTATGGCTAGCACCCTTAGGCCTGATGCTTGCCCTCCTCCCTCAGCTCTGAGCCACTGAAGGGGTAGCCACCGCACCCGCGCCCTCCCATGGCGTGTGAAGCCTTGCCCTTCTCACAGCTCCACGGCTGACAAGCCGGTTAAGAAGCAGAAAATTAGGGCCAAGCCCCATAGGAATTTTATGAAAGAGGCCACCCCAAATGGGAAGGCTCTGGAGTGGGCCTGGGGACGAGTGGGCAGGGCCGCTCTGTGGTTTCTGCAGAGCCATCCCATCTGAGCACATACAGGCCACCTGGAGGTCACCCCCCCCACCCCACGCCCTGCCACCTATGGAGGTACAAGACCCAGATCTGCCACCTCCTGGAGGCTGGAGGGCCGCCACCCACATTCCTAGCCATCTGAACCCAGGAGAGAAGGGCGCATGCCCAGTGAGACACGCACAGCGGGCATACATGGCTGCCAGTCTCCTGAGTGCTGGAATTGGCCTGGTCGTGGTGGGGGGCTCGGAAGCATGCTGGAGCCCCTGCCCTCGCTGGCTTAGAGATGCCCAGGGGAAACAATTGACCATGAGAAAATAACTAAAATCACAGTAGTATGTGAAAGTGCCTGCAGTTCTTAGGTACAGGAGAGGGTCTTAGGATGTCAGAAGATGCTAGAAAGCTGGGGGCATTCGGGAGAGTTTTCTGGAGGAGTTGGGTGATAACCATGGCCTTGAAACCAGCAGTGCCATAGTGAACCAGGTGGGGCCCTTGATCTCTCATGATTGAAGGAGCCACTAACTTTGGCTTTGGAACAGAGCAACATTACTGGCTTCTCAGGAGAGCAGAGCCTGTAGCTCTGACCTTACAGATACCGTGTGTTGACCGCTGGGCTGAGAGATCCAAGATTCTCACCAGATCGCCAGCCCCCAAGAATTCAAAGTTGGCTGCATTTACTTACATTTCTTTTCATTCTGAATTCAAAGGATTCCTAAAATATGCATGTTTTTACTGTTTTCAAAATGATTCCACTGAATCCCAAGCAGTCTGTAGTCTTTAGTCTCCAGAAGGGTGTTTTGGGGAGACCAGGGAAAGCCCCAGTACTCCTGTCCAGCCACCTCTTCCCTGGCTGTCCTGGAATCTGAGGACCGAGCTGCAGCCTCTTTCCAGACAGGCTACCTGAGAAGTTGCCCACCTGAGGAGAAGTTACCTGCCTGAGGTGTCCGTGGAAGTCACTGTGTGTATGTGGCCTTTGCCATTTGGGGGGAAGTCCTGGATGGACACCCCTTTAGGACATGCACCCCAGCCATGCTAGTCCTCTGTCATCTTCACTTTTTGGAATTCTTCATAGAATTACAGAGCAGAGAGCAACCCAGAGCAGCCCTCTCATCTGTGTTTGTGCGCAGCTCCATGCCTAATCTGGCTCTGATGGAAGGACAAAATCATTATAGGATGGGGACCTCACTTCACAAACCCTTCCTAGCAACAGGGGCAGCTCAGTGTTTATTTCTACCCTGAGCCACACCTGTCTCCTTGACCTGCTGCATACTCTCTAGATGTGGAGACCAAACCAAACAGAAGAAAACTTGGATTTCATACCAGCTTCCAATTACATGGAGTTTTGTATTTTGCAACAGGCTTTCAAAATCTTCTGCCTTAATTAACTTTAGGAGGTTGAGCTGAGAATCTGAGCTTCATGTAAAGAGGAAGTCAAGTGAACAGCTCAAGGTCACCCAGAAGATGCAGCCCCAAACTTCGGAGGGAATAGAAACACCATGGTCAGCCTTCCATCCCTGCCACTGTAACACATGGCCCATGCTCCCGAGAAAATAAGATCGGGAGCAATTAATTGCTTTTCAAAAGGTTCTGCAGCTTCTTTAGGTAGCATTCCTCCCAGACATTGAAATTATGACTAAGTCTGTAAAACTGCACATCGTTGTACGGGAAGGTAATGGCTCAGCGTATCCTGCAGCCACACGTCGTGAATGTGTATAACATAAATGAATTTGACTCCGCTGTCAATCAGAGGAAAAGAAGCGAGAGGGCCTGAGAGTGTTAGGGGAGAGAAATGACTGGTGACAGGCAAAGCACACTGGCTGATCGAGGAGATGCCTTGACTGGGGCTACTGCTATAGGGAGAAGGTTCTGCCCCTCAGTGAAGAATGCCGCAGATCAAATGAGGGGGCCTGGGCCTTCTGGAGGCAGGTACAGAAGGGATTCATCAGCGAGTTCCGTGGGAGTCATGAGGAACATCGGGGGTGGGTCTTTTCCTGGAATAGCCAAAAGCATAGGCGTCCTTTGTGATAGAACACAAAAGGATGGGAGATTTATTAACTGTAGTTTCTTTTCCAAAAACATGGGGCTCAGGTGAATTGCCACAACTGAAAGAAGACTGAGGTTCTGCTCGCCTTCCCACTCAGTGTGAGGTGGTCCTCGTTTGCTCTCAGTCACTGTCAGCTTGCTCGAATTTTTATATGGTCCTAAGTGCAAGTTGGGAACTTCATCTGCTGAAACAAAGAGACCGCGGTTTATTCCCACGGGAGGACAGGTTGTCAGTGTTGACTTTGGAGCATTGATAGTTAGGTCCCAGCATAGTGCCTCCCAAACTCAGTTTTCCCTGAATGCTGATTTCTGAACCTCAGTTATATGAGCTAGGGCTCATATAGGGCTGGGCAGAGGGGTGAGCTGGAAATGACGACGCCGTTCCCACGGCACTTGCAGCACAGGGAGGCCGTGGGCAGGCGTCCTTGGCCGGCGCTGACCTTGCCCGCTTCCCCAACAGATCCTGCAGGAGTTGGAGTATGGCCCCTCCGTGGACTGGTGGGCTTTGGGGGTGCTGATGTATGAGATGATGGCTGGGCAGCCCCCCTTTGAGGCCGACAATGAGGACGACCTATTCGAGTCCATCCTCCACGATGACGTGCTCTACCCTGTCTGGCTCAGCAAGGAGGCCGTCAGCATCCTGAAAGCAGTGAGTCCTTGCCCTCCCCCCACGCTGCTGCTCCCCTGCCTTCTCTCCCTCTTCTCCCTCTGTCCCTGTCACTCCTTGCCAGTCCAGAGGAAGACTCTCTCCCTTCCTCCCCGCCTCTCCCCCGTCCCAGCTGTGCTGCAGCTGAATGAGAGGCCTTGCAGTCACTGTGGAGAGTAGAGGCACGAATTGCCTTCTGTGGGACTGGGACACATTTGCGTCTCCTGAGAGGGAGCTCTGCGAGAGCCAGTGTGCGCCTGCATTTCAGAGGGAGAGACACCAACCCAGACCACGCAGCATCATTTCTGCCATGTAGACACTGGGCCTTAGCTCCTTCCGCTGGAGCCTGTGATGGGCAAGAGGGAGGGGGCACCGTGCACCTGTCTCCACAGTGGCATCTCGGCGGCTGAAGAGCCAATGAGAAAAGAAGTGCCCGCTCAAGACCCGTGCAGCCGTGCTGATTCGGACATGATAGGGAGGCGGTCCCCAGCCCTGCAGATAATCCCGCACGTGGGAGATTCTTAGTACTTGCCCAGCACAGCTGTTTCTGCAACGTAAGCCACTTGGACCAGGGCAAGTAAGTGGCGTGCCCTGTCTGCCTTGGAGAGCTGTGGAAGGCGGGGTGCAGGGAAGGGGAGCAGAGCCATTGACACACTGGGCTGAGGTGGGACCGAAGGGACAGCCTAAGAAACTTGACTTCCAGCCCTAGCCTCCATCACCCAACAGAGCACGGGTGGCAAAGTTCAGCACCTGCCTGGTACATCACATTCACCCGGTGTCCCGTAGCCAAGTGTCCTCTCCATGGCGATGTACTTGCTGATATTTACCTAATTTTATGTTTTTCTTTGCCAAGAAACTTTATATGACTGTCACAAATGGAAAACCAGTATCATTTACTGTAGCTAAGTTACATAGATCATCGTAGGAAAATGACAAAAAAGACCTCACATCATTCTGTCAGTGTCTGGGAGCTCACGTGTGGCATTCTGGAAAGTGCCACATCAGAGTGTGCTGTTCTCTCCCATGGCTCTTGCTTTCTTCTCCTTCCTTCCTTCCCTCACCTCATCCATTTCCCTTTGTCTCCCTCCCCCTCCCCGTCAATAATCCAGTGATCTACTGTCTGTTGAGTGTTTCCATTGTGTGGGGCATCATGCTTCATGCTAAGTAAGTATTGGTGAGTATAACAGCCATCGTCTAGCAGGCAAAGGTGGGCAGTAAATAAAAAATTGCATCTGCACACAGTCACAACTGGGACGACAGCAGAGAAGGAAGCAAAGAGAGGATGTGTATTCTCGCCTCTCATGCATGCCGGTGAGCGTCAAGTATGCCCCACGTGCTGTGTCAGGAGCCCGGCTAAGGAGAAACCTGCAGGCAGCACCCGAAGGAGCCAGAACACCAGCCCGGCAGAGCCAGTCACTTGCCCGGGGCCCTGAACACCAGCCCGACAAACCAGCGATCCCCCTGCCCGCACCCCAGCAGGGCCCTTTCAGTTTCAGACGACCCAGAGCCGTGTTTCTCAACAAGGTGTGATGTTGCCCTCCCACCCCCAACCCTGGGAGATATCTGGCAATGTCTGGAAATGTTTTTGCCATCACAGCTTGGAGGGGCCTGCCACTGGGGTCTAGTGGGTAGAGCCCAGGGACATCGCTAAATGTCCTGCAATGCACAGGACAATTCGCACAACAGAGAAGTATCCAGTGCAAAATGTCATTAGTACAGAAGCTGAGAAACTTCGACCTACAGAGAGTAAGAAGCTAGAGGTTATGCCTGTGTCAGCTGGTTGGCAAGGGCAAAGTCTCTGAGAGCTTCTGACTCGGGAGCCGCTTCCTGAGATGTTAAAACCTGTATGTTTATCAGTAGCCCTGATACTTCCTCTCCCAGAAGTGGAAGGGCAGGAAGAGCTAAGGAAGTAAGGAAGAGTCCTTACTCCCTTGGCCTTGGAACACTTTACTTCCTCACATTGTCCCTTGATTCTTGGACCAGGCCAGGTTTTCCATGACACTGGCCACCAAGCTGTGTCTCTGAGGGCTTCTACCTACACAAAAGTGGCGCAGAACTCTAGAGACCATTTACACCGTAGAGTTACACAGTGCGCAACCTGTGGAACAGTAAGTGCTGGTCTTAGTGCCTTCCTTCCTCAGCACTGTGCTCTCAGCCCCAGCATTCAGCCTCCTACTAAGTCATTTAAATGTACTGAGTGCACAATAGAGTCAGGCACTGAACCAAGTACCGGGAAGATAGGACTGATTCCTATATTCTAGACCTCACCAAGGGAAAGAGAAGTTTAGGCAAATTGTAATTTAAATAGACAAGAAACATGAGGTCCCAGGTACCTACAGAGCAAGGAATCTGGGGAGGCTTCACAGAGGGGGCAGCATTTTGACTGGTTCTTAGAGGATACTTTGGGACTGGACAGGGGCATTCGACCAGGGGAATAAAGGACACTGAAGGCCAGCCAGGGTAGACTGAGGGTTCAGACTGAGAAGTGTCTGTGTTTCCAAGTCTATGGACTTTATCCTGTGGGCAGTAGGAATCAAGAGTGTTCAAAGAGGGTTATATCTGCTGACTTCTAGACTAAGAAGGTGAAGTATGTGTTGGTTCCATCCTACCTCAAATCTGCCCACCACCCCTTCACTCTCTCCCCTGTGGCTCTCCCAGCTGTGTATCCACATGCTTTGGCTTCGGGGTCACCAGGCAAGCGTCCGTAGGAGACTCTCCCTGTCCAAGAAACTCTCCCTTGCTAATGAAGCCTGAAACTATATCAGTAAAGATTTCTCCCTTTGGGTTATGGTTTCTCCTCTTAAATTGCTTTCTTTAAATACAGATGCTCAGCCTTCACCCTGTGAAATGTCACTTTTGTGTCTAGCACACATGCCCGCACAAACCCCTGACTTTCTTTCGGATGGCTGTGGGAAGCTACCCGAGCCAGAGGCTCTTCTCACGAGACGGCAGCCAACAAATATTAAACACATCAGTGTGGTTTTTACAGACAAATATTGAGAAGCCATAAGCCTTTCCTTTTCGTGTTTTTTTTTTTTTATCTATTGATCTACATGGGTATTGTATGCTAGAGATTACAAATTCAAATTAAAAAAAGGAAAAAAAGTGACAGGGCCCTGGGGCCACAAAAAGGAGAAGTACAAAAGGTGCCTTGGATAATTTGCCTCAGCATGAATAGCTGCTCCTCTTTCCTCTCCTCAGCAAGGGCCACTGACCTCTCCGTGTAAATGAATTTATCAGATCTTCTTCTCCCCGATGAGAAGACTCAAGAATCTGAGGAGAATCAGGGAGTTAGTAACAGCCAGAGTTCCTGCTCCCAGCATGGTACCTTGTTGGCTGTTTGACCTTGACCAAGTTAATTAACCTCTCTGTGCCTCAACTACCTCACTTATAAAATAGGGACAACAGGAAACCTCAGAGGCTTGCATTTGGATGAAATGAGTTAATAATGTTTGCTATATTTAGAATGACGGCTAGCACATAGGAAGTTCTAGAGAAGACTAAAGGAGGACCCTGGGTGGGGGCAGAGCTCCCAAAGTGGAAACAGGCTCAGAAGAGGGCACTGAAGATGTTACCCTGGCTGACCTCCATCTTTCCCTCACAGCCTGTCCCTGACAGGCCTTTGTCACTAATTCCATCCTGTCCTCCCCCTCACAGTTCATGACCAAGAACCCGCACAAGCGCCTGGGCTGTGTGGCATCCCAGAATGGTGAGGACGCCATCAAGCAGCACCCATTCTTCAAAGAGATCGACTGGGTGCTCCTGGAGCAGAAGAAGATCAAGCCGCCCTTCAAACCTCGAATTGTAAGTAGGTCCCGGAGCTCATTCCACACTGTGGGTCGGGCCTGGGCGCGTAGAATGAGTGGTCTGGGGCACTTTCACAGCCCAAATGACAAGGGCAAGGGACAGATAACACACTCCCCCAGAGGAGTCTTCCAAGGCCCTAAGAGTTTGCTGTCAAAAATACATAACCTAGAGCCATATCCAAGGTGGTGATTTCTGTGGGACACAGAAGACGACTTTTTAACTTTAATAGAGATCCACTGACGGCTTTCATAAATGCTACATTCTGCCTATGGTAAAGATACAAGGTTTCTTTACAAACCAACTGGTCTGCTTTATAACTGAGTCAATTTAAAGAATCACACTAAGTGAGAGCCACAGTCCCAGTCATGATTTGGACCTAGCAGAGTTCGAAGGTAAGGCCCGGGGCCCGACCCCCGGGGAGCTCCCGCACAGTGCTCAGAGGCAGGCATGGGAGCCTTTGCTTCTCTCGGCCACGCAGTGTCCCTGCCAACCCCTCTCTGGCCCGAGCACACACCTCCGTGCAGGTTCTCGGGTCCGCGGTGGTGATGCCTGTCCTGGGGACTGCAGGAAAGGGTATTGAAGCTCAACAGTTGGAAAGAGGAATCAGAGAGCAGAGGCCATGTCCCGGCGGTGACCTCCTGCTGGTGGGGAGAGGGTCTGCAGTGCCATCCTCAGGGTGTGTGTGCTTGCCTGTGCAGGGGGCGTATCTTGAGTCTGTTGGCGTGTCGCCTGATGAGGCAATCATTCAGACTAAAAATTGGGGTCACCAGCTGACTAGTGCACTTGGAGCACAAGGGATGTGTAATATGAGGAAATTACAGGCAGGAGCCCCAGAGCGGTGGGGCTGGGGTCCCGGGCGGGAAAAACCCGAAGTCATCCAGTCAGCGCTCAACCACGCTGCCCTCTGTCAGGCAGCCCCTCCTCCCTCACTTCCAAGTACAGGAAAGACCCTCCTGTGCTTTGTGAATCATCTGCGAGGAATTCCATTCTATTCCAGGAGGTTTTCTGGGGAGCGATTACGGCTAGTGCTGGGATTCTCAGAAATGTCCCAAGTAGGCAATTCTCAGCTGAAGGCGTGATGCACACTAAGGCCAGACTAGCACATGGAAGGTTGACTGGCCCTGGACGCTCATTCGGGTCACCGTTCCTCGTCTGCTTCCTCCTCTGGTTTTGACGAGTTTCACTGGCTGGCGCGCTGCCTGGCGTAGGCTGGATTTAGGTTTTGCCTTCTCTCTTTGGTGACATCACCTCAGCCCCTGCCCGTCTCTCTCCCCCTCGGCTCTGGCACCGGCTGTGGCTCTGGGCTGGGCGCACAGCACATGCCAGCCTTCTCGAAGGCTCCCCCCATCCCCTCACCCAGAGGGTCTGTGTAGTGGTCTTCGAGGACAAGATTAACTGTGTCCTGGAAAAAAGTGAGGGGAGATAGGAAACCAGAGGTCAGGTGGAGAAGGAGGGGGAAACTAAAGACTCAGATCTGAGGGTCCAGTGTTAGTGTGGGTTTAGTCTAAGGCAATCAACCCAAGGCAAAGTGGGAAGTAGGGCTAAGTAGTGAATCCAGGCCTGACCAGTGGGGTCCCCGGACAAGAGCAGGACCCATCAGCAAGGGCAGGTCTGCAAAAAGACTTACATGACTCAAAGCTAAGCTTGCAGAGAGCCAGCTGAGCTAAAGGGGCATCCCCTCCCGGGAGTGTGGGGCCAGAGGACAGGGCCAACCCCGGGGGACTATGAGCAGGGGATGTGAAGGGAAGAATGGGCCTGGGGTGCGGCAGAGGCAGGCATGGGAGCCTTTGCTGAGAAGCCACAGAGAAGCAGGGAATTTGGGAAGATCTTGATGAGAAAAGGCCCAAAGAAGTTTTATCTGGATTCCTGGAGAAGAGCCTCTCTGTGGGGTAAACAGATGGCAGAACAGTGCTCAGATCCTGCAGACAAGAATGTTCCGAGATTTCAGGGGCCCCGCAAAGCTCCTGTCTCTGGAAGCCCTTCCCCAAGGCCTGGCGTTCCCAGGGGTTCTTCACGAGGCCGCCACCCTCCGTCTGAACGCTGAGCCAATGAAAAGGCAAACATAAGAGAAGTGACCCTTTGAGCTGTAGCTGGCTTGCTCGGAGTGAGGGAAGGCTGTGAAGAACAGGTGTGTGGTGTCTGTGGGCCTGCGGGATGGAGAAGGAGCCCGACACAGAGGAAGGGTCAGGGGATGAGAGAAGAGGGACTCGGGAGGCCAACCCATGACCCAACCCACGGGTGGGCGGTGGGCAGGCCTCAGCCGGCTCAGACAGGCAAGAACGGCTAGCTGGGAGTGCAGGGGAACTGGCAGCAGAAGTCCATCCCTGCATTGAGGGGGTCAAGCCCACCTGGGGGTCAGGTGGGACTCCATCTCCACCCGGGGTACAAGGGACCCATGCTTCCCTCCCTCGGGCCTCTTGTGAGCCCTCAACCTGGAACAGAGGGCAGGACTCTGCTTGCTTGCTTTGCTCAGGGGCTCAAGTAGGCTTCCAGGGGGATGAGCATCCCCAGGGAGGATGGCAAAGAGTAAGTATGGGCCGTCCAGGAGCTCCCAACGATGTCCAGCTGAGTCCGCGGTCCCCAAGACTGACTTCATCCTTCCTTCTCACATCACCTTCTCTGCATGTTCCTACTGGACCCCACAGACCTCCAGAGTTATCCTGGGTGCTGTGGGGGGTCAAGAGAAGGGCATTTGTCTGGCTGGTTCGAATTCTGTTTGGAAGAGAGAGTTAGAACATCTGAAAGAAGGAGAAGAAAGGGAACTTATTACATTGCATAAGAGATGTTTCTGGTCACATTTGGAGCTAAACACTGTTGATCTTTACAGAGTTCTCAACTACAGATCTTTAAAGATGTATTCAAGTTATTTAAGTATCTGACCACATTTTTATCCCAGAGATTTCTCTCTGAGCAGGCTGGAAAGGTGTCTTGAATCTGTCCCTAAGTTGAAGAATTTCCCTAATTTCTGAAGAATGTTGAGGGCACTACCCTAAGTCCTCCATGGGCTTGTATACAGCAGAAACGAATTTTAAGTCCAATTAAGGCCCACCACAGTGACAAACATACTGAGAGCCTCTTGGGACCCAGGTGGAACTCGCACAAGGTTTTTATAAACCACCACCCGCCTCTTACTAAGTCAGGATTAACCCTGGGGGTACGAGTAGCCACCGGCTCGGACACCAGCAGTGGGGAAGGCTATGCTTTGTCTGCAGGGCCGGGGACCACAGGCAGAACAGATGCCCCCCCCCCGCCGCCATGAGAGGTCACTGGAGAGACATGGGGGTCTGAACTATGTCCCGCAGAAGTTGTCCGCTGTTTATAGGGCAAGGTTTCCATCACATGACAGGCTGTCCTAAGACCCCCTGACCCTTCCCAAGGTTTCCATCACATGACAGGCTGTCCATAGCTTTAGGGCACATCAGATGCCTATTGAGGAGAGCTGGGAAGGAAAGGTTTTGAGAGAAGGAGAAAGGAAAGCAGATTTGGAGCTTGACATTGGGAAGATGTGGACAGGATAGTGGGTTGCACAGGCCTCCAGGGAGAGAGAGGGCTTCTTAAATCTTAGGGACAGACTCCTTGAGAAAGGAGAGGACAAGTACGTGAGCAATATCACCAGCCTCACGATTTGGTGGTGGCCTCAAGAAGACAGTGTGTGTGCGCTGTAGAAGGCAATGGAACCGATACACAGGACCCCCTCCCCCCAGTCTCGTCATGCCAAAATCCCCCAGGGCATTCAGTCAAAGACCTGGGACCCTGAGGGAACTCTGGGTCTCCTTTGTCCTGGGCTAGCTCCATTTGCTTCATCCCCGTGTCCTACTGACATCACACTAAAATGCCACCACCCCCAGAAAGCAGCTGGATAGAAACCACCCGCGGAACTAGCTGGACATTCTGAATCTAAGGATGTTGGGCCGGGTTCTGCCTGTCTGATTCAGGAGGGAATTGGTTTTGTCTGGTGGGAGGTGCTGGAGGTGAGGCTGGGTGAAATCGTGTCATCCAGTCCAGGCTTAAGAAGAGCCAAGACACAGTGCTGTATTTTCTAGAGCCCCTGACTCTTCCCAATCCCGCAGCACAGTTGGGGCTCCTCGACAGTGGAGCCCACAGTGGGCAAGCAAGCCCTCCTGCACACCACCCAGGCCGGCTCAGCTGAAGCCTTGGGTGCCTCGATCACCCCCACAGAGGCTGAGGATATGGCAAGTCTCTGGGCCTGGTTTCCATCCTCTCTGTAGGAAGCCTTGCCCCTCCGAAGATCTCACTGAGATTGTCCAGATTTGTAGTTGCCTCTGGCCTCTGGCCCAGTTCCCTGGCATACCGTGAGTGGCTGCTGTCCCCTCCAGGCCTTTACCTTCTTGAGATGTTTCCTAGGCTGAGATTTCTGCTCCCTGGCGCCTGAGCCTCCCTGGCTAACCCCTGGCCTAATTTACCAGCTGCCATTAGTCCTGTGGGGTTGCCTGCCTTCATTCGGGTTTACGCCCCTTTGCACTCACCCCTACCCTGGGACATTTTGCAGCAGCCCCTGCTTCAGTGTGGGGATTTCCTGTCATTCATCCCTGCAGCATTCTTGTATACTCTCCCTCCCTCCCTTCTCTTTTTCTCTTCTTCCTGCCAGCCCCCTCCTCTCCCACGGATTCAGACTTCTCACAAGCGATGTGCCATCGACGCCAGACCGAAAACTTTGTGCCATCACATACTCACATCCATCTCTGGAGGGGGCCTGCTTCAGAGCAGGGGCTCACAGGGCGGGCAGCAGGACCCTCAGCAGTGGGCGGGTGGGGGACTAGAGAAGCCAGTGAGGCGGGAACCCAGACCCCTGATGCTGGGGAAGATCTCCAAGCATAGAATCCATTTGCCCATCCCACTGGGGATTTCGTTCCAAGTGGGCAGCAGCATCCAGGAGCCAGTAAACGTAGCACAGTCCGCTTTTACGTCACTGGTGGGTTCTCCTTCTCCAGGGACCATAGCAGGCAGAAGCGATGTGTTTGGTGCGGTGGGACAGC